TTGGCGCCGCACTGAATCTAGATGGAATTGGCACCTTAACCAAGCCAGATGATCTTGCCATGTGACCGAGATATAACTTGCTTCTAGTTTTTCTTGCTTCTAGTTTTTCTTTTGTTTCTTTTTCTTTTTTTCCTTTTCTTTTTCCATGAAACCGGACTACTTGAACCTCTTTTGTAGTCAACTTTCACATTTAATGACAATTACAACTTTTTGTACGCCTAGTGTGTTTTCATATTTTGATCAAGTTTAAACGCATGCTTTGTCGAGCTAACTAGCTCGGCTAAGATTTCCAAGAAGTTAGTCAATCCTGCTAACCCATTTTACCAAGCTAACTAGCTCGGTCAAAGAATTTTGGAAGTTGGTCAATTCTGCCAACCAACTTTGCTGAGCTAACAAGCCAGACAAAGATTTTCAAGAAGTTGGCCAATCCTACCAACCTACTTTGTCAAGCTAACCAGCCGAGCAAAGATTTTTCAAACAGTTGGTTAATCCTAGCAACCTACTCTGCTGAGCTAACCAGTCGGGCAAAGATTTCCCAAAGAGTTGGTCAATCCTACCAACTCACTTTACCTAGTTAACCAGCTCAGTCAAAGATTTTCAAAAAGTTGGTCCATCTTGCCAACCTATTTTGCCGAGCTAACTAGCTCGGTCAAAGATTTTCAAAATGTTGGTCAATCTTGCCAACCTACTTTGCCGAGCTAACCTGTCGGGCAAAGATTTCCCAAAGAGTTAGTCAATCCTACCAACCCACTTTGCTGAGCTAACCAGCTCGGTCAAAGATTTTCAAAAAGTTAGTTAATTGCCAACCCATTTTACCGAGCTGACCAACTCCGTCAAAGATTTTTAAAATGTTAGTCAATCTTGCCAACCTACTTTACCGAGATGATCAACCGGGCGAAGACTTCAAATTTCAGATTGAAGTAATACAAGCATAGTAAAACTACAACGAGACCAGATCTGGAAAGAAAAACTATACCTATTTTATTAATGCTAACCAAAAAGAAGGGAAAATTAGAACTAAAAATAGAATAACTTCAAATTGGTCGTATTTCATGGCTTTTTGATAGCTTAGCCATCCACATCTTCTAAGTGGTAAACTTCCTTTTTTGTTAACCCCACCACCTTGTATGGTTCCTTCTAGTTGGGTCCCAATTTGCCATCACCATGTACCAAAGTGTTTTTCATGACTTTGTGCAGAACCCAATCTCCAATCTTGAATTGTTTTAGATGCACTGCTTTATTATACTTTCTAGACAGTTCTTGTTGATATGAAGCAACGTGGATCAGTGTTCTCTCTCTCTCTCCGTTCTTCTGCAAGGTCTAGCTCTAAAGTTATTGCTTCTCCTTTCAAGTCTGGGTCAAAATTCTCACTTCTGTTGGAGGGAAGGCCGATCTTTAGAGGAATGAAGGCCTCCATGCCATAAGCCAAGGCAAATGGTGTTTCACCGGTTGAATGTCTTAGGGTTGTTCGGTAGGCCCAAAAAACGTGGGGAGTTCTTCAACTCACTTTAATTTCATTTTTTCCAGTATTTTCTTCAAGCCATCTAGGATCACCTTGTTTGACACTTCAACCTGGGGTGGAGTTGTAGAACTCAATCTTGTGCTTTTCACAGATGCCTCTGAAAATGCTTCTATCAAACTGAGTGTCGTTGTTTGATATGAAAGCCTTGGGGATTCTAAACCAAGTTGTGATGTTCTGCTAGGCAAACTTTTTGACGTCTTTCTCTTTGATGGAAGCAAGTGCCTCTGCTTCAACCCATTTTGTGAAGTAATCTATCGTCGCAATGAAGAACTTATTATTGCTTGGTGCGGTTGGGAGTGGTCCCACTATGTCTAAACCCCACATTACAAAGGGCTAAGGACTGGTCAAAGGTAAGACTACTTTGGCTGGTAGGTGGATTTGATGCACAAACTCTTAATATTTTTTGCATTTTCTGACATACTTCTCTGCGTCTTAATACATGCATGGCCACCAATATCCTTGCGAGATAGCTCAGTAAGAAAAAGATCTCGCCCTTGATGACTTCTGCAAATTCCTTTATGAATTTTGAATAAAAAGGCCTCAACCTTGCTAGGGTGCACACACTTCAAGTACGACCCGGTGAAAGACTTTTTATACAATGCCAGAGATGGAGAAAGCCAAATCACTGTGACTTTGCCCGAATATTGTTTGCCTCCTTCTGGTCATCTGGCAAAATCTGGTCTTTTAAAAAAATGATGATGAGGTCCATCCACGAAGGTTCTAGCTCGGTGCACAATACTTCTGCCGTTTCAGGTTCTTCAATACTTGGCCTTGGCAGGAAGTTGATCAACTAAGGGTTTGAAATATAAATGTCTGACATTGATGTGAATCCAGTCAACTCATTCACCTTGTTGTTTTCATCTCGACCAATCTGTTCTATCCTAATGACTTCAAACTTCTTGACTTTTGTTCTCACTAGCTCTTTATACCCGGCCATTCTGTCGTCCTTCGTTTCATACTTACCAGATATTTGGTTAACCACTAATTGGGAGTCACCGTACACCATTAGCTTGGTAGCCTTCATTTGGAAAGCAGATTTCAGACCGGCCAAAAGTGCATTGTACTCCGCTTTATTGTTGGACATTGGAAATCCAAGTTTGATTGCTTGTTTAATAGTCAGGCCATCTGTTGAGATGAGGACTATTCCAAGTCCAACTCCATGTCTATTAGAAGCTCCATCCATGAAAATCTTCTATATCTCTCCCATGAACAAGTTCCAACAAGTGGACGGGTCTAAAGATGTCTTGGGGTCTGTAACTTCGGTTATTTCCACCAAGTCTTTGTCCACCGTTTGTTCATCAATCTCTTTTCTCGGTTGCCCTACCATTTTACTTTCAGGCACATCATCACAAATCGTGCTCGTCGTTGCACAGCTTACCTTATCACCCCCTGGTAATGTGTTATTGACCTTAGTGAACGGTACAACCACTGCTAGACTCAATGGCACTTGCGTAGGTCTTCCGCTTGAGGTGGTAATTCAACTTGTTGTTGGGTAGTGGGAGGCTGCGCTATTCCTATGACACTTCCTCCCCTTTGTTCGATTTCATCGATCAAGTCAACAGGGCAAACAGAATGACTCCCTGGGGCAAACTCTGCCACAAATTCCATTAATGCTTAGGCCTTTATCGCCGTTCTACCTTAGAACTTGATGTCAAATTCTCCAAACTCCATTGCCCATTTCAAAATCATTCTAGAAAAGTCAGCCCTTTCGAATAGGGCCTTCAAAGGAAATACGGCCAATACCACCATAGTGTGCAGATGGAACTAATGCGACAACTTCCTTGATGCCATCATCGAAGCTAGGGCAAGCTTCTAATGGCAGGTATCTTGTTTCGGCATCTAGCAATATGAAAGATGGGCCAGTGTTGTATTCCTTCTGAGCACACCAACATTTCACTGACTGTGTGATGGAAAACTACAAGGTATAACTAGTGTTCCTCTCTAGGCACTAGAGTTGCTAAAAGTGATGGAGAAGACAAGTACTCCTTCAAGCTTTCTAGAGCTCGTTCACATTCTTTGCCCCACTCGAATTTCACCTTACGTGCCTGGAAGAATGGTCAACATCGATCTGACGATAGACTTATGAATCTGTTTAGAGCGGTAGCTATGCCGACTAGGTGCTGTATTTTCTTAATTGTGTTTGGCCTTTTAAGCTTTTGAATGGCCTTGATTTGGGAATGATCTACTTCTATTCTGCGGTTTGTTACTAAGAAGCCTAAAAACTTTCCTGATCCCACGCCAAATGCACACTTAGACACTTTTAGTCGTAGCTTATGAGTCTTCAAGATTTGAAACATCTCAGCTACGTTGTTGAGATGGTCTGACTCATTCTTACTCTTGATCACCATGTCATCTATATAAGTCTCCATTGTTCTGCCTAGCAATGTCGCAAATATCTTGGTGACAATTCGTTGAAATGTTGCCTCTGTATTCTTTAGGCCAAATGGCATGACCTTTTAACAATATTACCCTCTTCGCATTGTGCAAGATGTGATCTCTTGGTTCGGTTCATACATAGCGATCTGATGATATCCATGACATGTATCGAGAAAGCTAAGTTGGCTGTGTTTTGTAGTTAGGTGCATCAGTTGATCAATCCTTGGTAAAGAAAGTTATCCTTTGGGCATGTTTTGTTAACTATTTTATAGTCCACACAAACGTGCCATTTGCTGTTCTTCTTGGGCACCGCCACAGTGTTTGAATCCACTTTGGATAATAGACCTCTCTAATTGCCCTTGCTTCCAATAGGTTCCTTACCTCTTCGGCTACTATTTTAGCATAGTGTAAAACCAATTTGTGAGTTTTTTTGTATAATTAGTCTGGCGGTAGGGTTGACATTGAGTTGATGACAGATGAAGTTTGGATCAATGTCAGGCATGTCATATAGCGTCTAGGCAAACACTTCGAGATTGGAGATCAAAAAATCCATGATCTTCTTTCTCTTAGTGTTGGACAAAGATGAGTCGAGCAAAAAGAACTTCTCTAGGTCATTCTTATCAATCCTCATATCAACCAGATCTTCTACAGCCTTCTGTTCGGCTATCTTGCTGACGTCTGCGAATATCTCATTACTTTCCAGCTCCTCTACTATCTGTATGAATCCTTTGATAGCGCAGCTGCGATTCACTGTCACGAAGCACTGTTTAAACATCATTTGGTCTCCCAAGACCTCTTCAATTACTCCGGCTTCAATTGAAAATCAAATTACTTGATGCTACGTTGATGCTACACTCGCATGGCATGTAACCATGTTCTCCCTAGAATGATATTATAAGTGGATGGGACTTTCAAAACCCAAAACTCCACTTGTTTGACCATCGAACCTACTTTGAAAGGCAAAATTATCTTGCTAACCGATCATTCAGGCATAGAGTTAAAGCCCACCAAGGGAGAAGTGGCCAGTGCTAAGTCTTTATACTCAACTTCATTTGTTTGAAGGTCTCATAGTATATTATCTTGAACGAACTCCCTTGGTTAATCAGGATCTCTTAATGTCAAAATTCTTGACTCGGAGAGTAACCACCAGCTCATCGTTATGGGGGTTTTGCAACCTTGGTAGGTCTCTGTCAGAGAAAGTGATTACATTTTTTGCCTTTGTCTTTCCTTTCTTCACTGTCAATTGAACATTTAGCACCTCCTTCATCTGTTCGGTTTTTTTGATAATCCCTTTGAGCTCGCAAACTCGCTCAGGCTCAATGATCCCATGGATTACATTTATCATGCCTTGAGGTGGACCGTCTATTGGTATGCCATCTGGCATGTTGCGGTCTTGAAGGGTTGACCGTGCTCCCCCTTCGATGTATCTGTTCAAGTGTCCTACCACCACCAACTCCTTCAAGTGTTGCTTCAATAGCGTGCAATTTTCAGTTCGGTGCACAATTTCATCGTGGAAGGTGCACCGATATCTCACGTCATAGCCCCTTTGCGCTTCTCCCAATTTGGCAAGCCACCGAACAAAGGGTTCGTCATATATTTCGCTAAGTATTCGGTAGATGGGCTTCTTGAAAACCGTCGTGATAGCGGTGCGAACCTTCAACTTCCTTGCTTTGGCATCCTTATCATTCAGTGGACCACTATGATTATTGTTGTCCGGATGGCTTTTCCGTCCAACTGTGCTTACCTTAGCCAAAGTCTTTTTGTCCAACATTGCTGTCGTGTCAAACTTTGCCTTGGCGCGGGCGCCATTCTCCTTTACCCTTATGTGTTGGTGAACTCTCTCTATTAAAGCCTCCATGGCAATGGGTGGAGTCATTGTCATGGAATCTCTTAGCCTATCCCAACGGGAAATCCTCGCATGTACTGTGCAATAGCTAGGTTAGTGGGACATTCACAGTCACGCCCTAAACCCACCCCTAAAAGTTTCAGGCATGACTTATTCAGAAATAGACACTTAACCTGATATACATAATATATGGGGCTTGGACGGAAGCATTAATAAAATTAAATAACAATAAAACATCATCCATTGAGCTACCACTACTATGCCAGGACCGCAAACATTACATTAGGTAGATAATACACAGGAAGCATATACCCGAGCTTTAGTTACAATCATTCACATTCATACAAAAGTACTAAAGAAAGGGGTTATTTACATTCAACTATAGGCAGACAATCAAAGCATAAACCAAAAACCTAGTTAAAGCTTTACAAAATGCACGGGTTCCATCTTAAGTGCCTGGACACACTGAGGTTGACAAGAGATAGACAAGTCTCAAGGGTTAGGACTGGCTTTCCAGTTGGTTACCTACAGAAACAGACAAAATACAGAGTGAGTAAAACTCAGTGAATAATAGCACATAAATAATGTAATGGTTAACTTAAATAACAAAGCATATAACTGGGGAGGCATATGATTAATTACATTCTGTAGTCATTTCTAGAACGGCTATGGGCCCAATTTCCTTAACAAAGTGGCTTTAAGCCCAGTAATACACAGAACGACCATCGGCCCAGAAATAACAGAACGGCCTATCGGCCCAGAAATAACAGAACGGCCTATCGGCCCAGAAATAACAGAACGACCTATTAGCCCAGAAATAACAGAACGACCTATTAACCTAGAAATAACAGAACGGCCTAACGGCCCAGAAATAACAGAACGGCCTAGCGGCCTAGAAATAAATATGTATGGACTCAAGAGGTGGCTCGTACGGATTCTAGAGGTGGCTCCCACCAAAGTGTAGCACTTAGTTCCGTACAGTACTTTGTTCCATACTAAAAATCATCAGAACAGATTAACTTCAGAATCATACAGAAAGTACATACATTCTTCCCATTATTTACATGAATTACCATCGGTAATATAAGTTCAACAGAACGTTGCTGATAATCGTTAGCAAAAGGGAACCACATTCCAGAGATATGTAGATACCATAGTTTCATAATGCACATACATCCCATTTGCTTGTCATGAACCAATACCACTAACTTGCAGATAATGGAATGTCAATATTAACTATCAACAGTAAACAAAACGTATGATCCAACGATGCACTTAGATTTCCTCATGGTTCTTTGTAGGTCGACACACTTGTCTCGTAATTAGCAGAACATTAATATTAACAATAGTCCGAAGGTAAAGGTACCATTACATCAATAGGTCAGAACAGTTCATATCATAACATGAATCACGTATCAATGTTATTGATACTCAATTCCTTTCTATTAACCAACTTCACAGTGTTAATAGTTTGTATGCAATTCTTATGCAGAATCATGAGTAATTCATAGGATGGTACATTCACGATAATCATTAGCCATAGCCAGAATACAGCGTAGGTTCAGAGTCATGCCAATGTTCACAAAAATCTTTCCATGTCCACACTGTTTCCCAATCATCATAATATTAACATAACTATGTCTGAAGCGCAGAGCATTAATTAAAAGAATTATTAACGGTAATCAAATGTGCGATTACAGTACTATTACTCATAGCGGTAGGTCTCTGATAGCGGTGGAACGATGTCCTCGTCTTGACCTACGAACACAATGGATATAACAGATTATGAGAATAAAACCAATCTCCTTTTATTCTTCACTCAATAGCTATGGTGGTTCTAGACTCATTAGTCCTCCATAGGTTATAATCCATGCCTCATAAGATAGGAGGAATCGATAGGAGAAAGGTTCAGACGAAGAAACGGTACAAACCGGTAACCAGAAAGTGAACAGTCGTCACTAATTTGGGCATAACTATTTCTGTATTTAAAATTTTGGAGTGAGACTAACACCATTGGAAACTAGACTTCCGGGGCTTGATTTTAGGCTCAAGAATCACTCAAAACGGAGTCCGGATACAAAAGATATGCCTATTCAAAGTTACCCAGTCTATGCTGAAACAGGGGTGGCCGCTTGTGCGCCCACTTTGGCCGCTCGTGCGGCCCAATTCCGCTCGAGCAGAAGAACCAGGCCGTTCGAGCACCCAAAAACAGAATGAAAATCCCTTTTTCTTCTTCATGTCCTCTTGTGCGGTGCCCGTGGCCGCTTGTGCGGTCTGGGCAAAAACATCAGTCCGAAAATGGGTCTTTTGCTCCAACACTTGATTCTTTCCATTCTTAAACTTAGTTCTAAACATAATTCACTCAAAAATATGTACAATTGCCTAATAACATGATAAACTAAAATCAACCAAGTATAATCTCTTCTCAAATAAAACAATCTATGACTCAAATTAAAAATCCAAGACTCATCTTTCTATATAATCAAACTTCCAAAATATATGCTCTCAAATCATAAGAATATATCTTACCTATGGTTGATTTTCACACCAAAACTTGTTATTCCACAAATCATTGTTAAGATTGGACCCAATTTAAACAAATTTAAGGAAAGCAAAGTTCATTTCCATGAATTCAACCCATTTCACCCAAAATCCCAAAACACTAGTTCATTTACATTTTAAACTTCCAAATTAATCCTTGATTTCATGTAGTAATTGAATTATTTACAAAGATAATAGTTAAAACCACATACCTTAACCCAAATCCTTGAATTCCCCCCTTAAAGCTCTTCAATCTCCAAGCTTTCCCTCCTTCCTCTTTGAGTTCTCTCAAGAACTCTCTCTCTCTCTCTCTCTCTCTCTCTCTCTCTCTCTCTCTCTCTCTCACGGGTCTTCCCCCTTTCTCTAGATATTTTTGGTTCAAAATAGATGAGTTCAACAACTCCTAAGGCATCCATGTATATAAATATACACACACACACATAAGATTAACACAAGGGAGAGCCAAACATGGCCTTACGAATCGTACGAAATTAAATTTCAATTAAACTTTTTAGATGACTCTAAAAATTACAGTAATCATGAATATGCCCTCGATTCTGGTTTCTGAAGCCTCTAAGGCTTTCAATTTGCAGTACAAAATTAACCACTCAAACGTGCATTAACGAATCGGACGAATTAGATTTTCAATTAATTTTCCCAATTAGTTCTAAAAATTCCCATTAGCATAACCAAGCACTCAATTTCGATTTCTGAGCCCATAAAGGTCGGTAATTTCAATTTTAAAGCTGCGACTCAACAGATAATTCCTTAATTCGAACAGATACGTTAAATTAAAATGTATTAACCCACGAGGATATAAAAGGAATTTCAGATATTCACCAATCTTATTGAAGGTCTCCCAGTACCTGTTGTTGTAGGACTTCAGTGTTTCCTTCTTGCCCATGTCAATGGTGAGCAATTAGTCGATCTCCATAGGCACTTTGGTATTTGTTTTGAACCTAGTAACAAATGCCTCTGCATGTTGTGCCCAAGAGGCAATGGTGCCCTCTGGCAATCTCTCAAACCAAGTCAAGCCCAATTCCCCAAGACTCGATGGAAACATGATGCACATCAAGGTCTCATTCCGCCTGTGTATAGTCATTACTTGTCGAAAGTGGCTAATATGCATGGAAGGATCGGACTTCCTATCGTTGATCTTAAATTTAGGTTGGTTAAAGCCTAAGGGTAGTGGTGCATTCTCTATCGCTGGAATGAATGACGAGCCCTGTAATCTTGCCAGCACTCTGTTTGCTGGTTCAGAGGCGAGGTGTGGCATTGGTAATGTAACTTTGATGCTTCCATGCGTCGTAGGAGCCAATCACTGCAACGCTGATACCCTTTGGAGGTCCTGTGCCCGGGCAACTTCTCTCCTTCGTGCCCTTTCATCCAAGACAGTTTGCAAATCTACCGACCTGGGCAACTCAGTTTGTCACATAGATATTTGATGGGTGTGTGAGCGTCAGTGTACGATCTTTCAGACCTCTCTCTCTCAGGCCTGGAGTAACGAGCTTTGGAAGTGCTTGAATGGGTGTCGCCTGTCCAGAGGCTTCTACTCTCGAAATACATAGGCGTGGTGTGCCTAACCTGATCCCATAATGGTAGGATTGCATTCGCCCTTCGAGGATCTCCACTCCAGCCACGTCTTTGCCTTTCACTTGGTACTTTAAAGTCTCCATGTCTGCCGCCATCCTTCTTATCAATTCATCATGCTCCTTTACACGATCCTCTAGAACCTGGGTGTCTATCTGTCGCCTTTGTCCATTTAGGCTTCAGAAGTGGCAAGGGCTTAAACCCCACTTTTCTCGCACACCCCTATGATGGTTCCATCATTGCGAGTCTAAATCTTCCATGGGCGGAGCATGAGGCAGATCATTATGCCATCTGTTCCATTCAGGCGTTTGGCCATCAATGGAAGATTACGGTATATCTTCATTGTCCGCCATTGATACTTCTTGAAAGAAAGCTAGATCAAAAGGTAAGTTCTCTATTTTCCCACAGACGGCACAATTTTATGAGCACGAAATAATCTTCACTCTTATAATCCTACTGATCAAGCTTGCGCTCCTCTAAATGTCGTTGTAATACTTGAAATCACAAATGTGAGCTAGCCGGAGGATGTATGCCGGAAACCCTCTGATGCCTAAGTTAGCAAGTAGACTAAGGATACAAAAGCTCTTTGAATTCAGGAGTATGAATTGCAATACCTAGATGAGAGTTTGGTTTGAGCTTTCGTAGACTCTGCATGGCACAATCCTAGTAGGACTATAACTCTCCTTAGTAGAGTCTTCCTAGGAATTCCATTCCTAAGGATAATGTAACGCCTCACTTTTTGTTACTTGAATTCTATTACCAAACCATTATTATAGATTCAATTTCAGAGATAATATGTGTAAACTCTTTACATTAACAAGAACACATAAATAAAGATTCTCTCATCCGAATACAATATAAATGCAATAAGACTTATAATTAAATAAATTACCTCTAGG